TATGTCATGAAGCACATCAAATGACTTTGGGTTTCTAAAGAGACATGTATCTTTGCATTTTTTTTTTTTTTTGCCTTAAATTGCAGAAAAAAATGGATTCAGAGTTGAAAAAAAATGGATTCAGAGTTAAAAAAGATAATTAAACACAGAAAATATAGCTACCATTAAACCAGTAGTTCTTAACCTTGGCTGCATTAGGGCAATTGGCCTGTCAAGCGCCCAGGATATTAAACTTATTTTTTAAAGGAGATCCCTGGGACAGCTGGTCACCCCAGTGCACACCAGAATTTACTTGGGAGTTTTAAAAATAATGTCCCCTGCAAACACTCCACTGTAATTGAGGCGGTGGGGATACTGGAATTTTTAAAAGCTTCCCAGGTAATTCTCATATGCAGCCATGCAGCCAAGGCTGCGGACCACCTGACATCACACGTGCAGGTGCACTTTGGAACGGCAACAATAATATCAACGTCCCTGTACAAGATTTTATATACTTGTGGGTGCCTGGAGGTGGGGAGAGGTCACCACTGCGGGGCTGTAATGGGGCAAACAGACGAGAGTTCCGCCCTTCCCTAGCCCTGTGACCTTGGAAACACCAATGATGCTCTCTGTGAGGTGTATAATGAAGTAACTGCTTTGTAGATTCTTAGAAATTTGTATGTTCCTGGCTCAGTGCCTGTCATGTGCACTGCCCAGGACTGTTTTATTCCCACACCTGCTGTGACCTGCTGGTTTTAAGGAGTGTAACAGAAGATAAAGAGAAGTAAATGGGTATTATTAGTGAAATAGTGAATGTTCTATCAGGAATATAATGAGAATGCTCTCCCAGTGGCTGGCTGCTTATCATTCCTGGAGCACCTTGGCCCAAGTCAGATGAAAGAATGCCTGCATAAGCAGGTTCCTATGTTACCTCCAAACTTCTTGAAGCCAGCCTTCAATTATCTGCTTTTTCTCTGGTAACAGGTCTGGAGAAGCTAGATGGCTTTTTGAAGATCACAGATTTGGTGAACAGCAGCAACTGTGTCCAATCTCACATTCCTTGTTTGCTACCTTGCTGTGTGAAGCTGTGAGATGAAGCTATATAGTCAGTATCTGCTGCCACTTGAGCACTGTTCTTACTTCCTGCCTGGAGCCTTGGAGTTGCAGATTTAAGTCAAAAACATGGCAAGTACCATGGGCTCTTCCTTCTCTTTCAGGCCTTCTCTTCTCAGGTGTGGCGTGCCACGAGTTTCACAACTTCAGGCCCTGGTGTAGGCTTCTACATCAGTACCCTGGGCCCCAGCAAGGCGCTGCACAAAGAGGCCTGCAACAGAAGCCAAACACTTGGGTTTAAGTCCTGGACCAGCACAGCCTTGGTTTCTCAAGGAGTGCTGAAGGTAAGGGGAATGAGCCCCAGAAGTGCTCCTCAAGCAGGGGTATATGGCAAAGTCACCCATGGAGCTTAAAAAAAGGATTCCCAGGACAAACATACAACCTAGCAAATCAGATTCCCACTTCTTGGGGTGGGGCTCAGGCATATGGTTTCAATTTCTCCCTAGGTGATTCTGGTGCCTCCCCCCTCTCACCCCTTGATGACAGTGTTTAGACTGGCTGATCTGTAGCTGCTTTTACTCCAAGGATGAATCTAGGAAATCGCAGTTAGCTGGGTTTGCATAACAAAGAAAATGCAGTAGACTGCAGGCAGTTTCAGAACAGTCAAGATTGGGAAAACCCTCCCTGGTAATGACCTTGTTTATCATAAGCAATAGCACAGGGCTTGGCCAAGGAAGGCACTCAAAAAAGTTGTATTCGTTGAAAGAATGAGTCAGCCTTCACAGAGACAAAAATAAAAATGTTCTTTGTTCTTCCTTTTGCACAAAAACTGGCCCAGACCCCCTTACTTAAAGGCAAATAAACCTCTAGAGATCGAAATGGATTATTTAATTGCCATTTTGCATTTTTAAAATCCTCATAGGTTGTGCATAATACATCAGGGAGGAGCCCCAATAAATAATGGCCATCCTATGCTCTTTTCAAATTGCTTTTGCAATGAATGTTATCAGCATAACAAAACTGTCTGCATAGAAAAGTGTTAGTTTTCAAGGCTCATCTGATCCAAGATGAAAGTAATTTTTAAAAATTGTATCCTAGGTTAAAGATACCAGTATCACACAATTTTAAAGAACTATTTGTATTCTACTCAAAGAGACAGTCTATAACACAGGTTTCTAAACAATATTTTCTGAACCCTTGGCTGTGTACTGACATAAACTTTGCATATGTGACTCGAGTGAGAGATGCATCTCCATTCTCAGTCTTTCTGCTGTACTGTACGAGAGCACTGCAAGCTTCTGGAGACCCAGGTTTGTCTTAACTTGGTAATTTCATGTCTAAACTTAGGATAGTTTAAGGATTCTAACACAATATTAGAGTTTAGCTATGTAGATTTCTACTTTTAAACTGGACATAATGTTCAGTAGTTCACTTTTTTTTAATGTTACGATAAATCGTTCATTATTTCAATTTTTAAAGTCGGAGGTATTTTAACAGTATAGGTTAACTACCCAACTGATACATAAAGGTTTAAGTGTTTTCTCTCCCATTTCTCTTTTGGCTTTTCCTTTCTGGTTAAGAAAATTTCATTCTTTCGAACCCTACAATTTCCTGGCTTTACAGAACCCCAAACCCCAAACGCAACAAGATAAGACGGGCAGGCCGGAATGGGGAGGTCACACAATGACATCAGCATTTGGAACAATTCAAGTCTTCATCTCTTCTCGTTCAACCTATTCCTCACCCCCCGCAAAAGATGCGCAGGTCCTCGATAGACGGGCCCACTCCTGTCCCTCCCAAGAAAAGACAATGCCAAGGCTGGTTTTCGAGTTTATTGTCGGCACGCTCCCCGATGGCAGGCAGCATCCAAGGCGAGCGCGCCTGAGCCTGTGCGCTCGGAGGGCGAGGCCTGGCGCAGCGGGCGCATCGTCATCTCCCGGGAGCGTCCCGCCCGCCAGGAGGGAAGGCCGGGGTTCTTCCAGCCGAAGAAAACCAAAACCGTCAAGGCTCAGCTACGAGGCCCGCAGGAGGCTTTAAAAATGGCCTCCTGACGACACTTCCTGCTCGGCGCGGACGGTAGGAGCCCTCGGAGGAGGCATCTTTCAAAACGCTGGGGGAGGGGAGCGCAGGCCACTCCGGGGTCACCACACCAAAGGCCCTGCGGGACGCCCCCGCCTCCGCCTCCGCCTCCGCCTCCGCCCCCGCGGAGTCCGCTGGGTCGCGGCGCACAAAGGCGAGCGCGGGGCGCCGGGCTTGACCCCGACCCCAGGCCCGGCCCGCGTCCCTGCTCCAAAGCGCGCCGAGATGCGGCCCGGGCCCCCACCCTGGCTGGTGCCCCGCGCCCACCAGCCGGAGCCCGCGTTCGGCCTTCCCGGTGCCGCTCGCCGCGACGCCAGCCCTCACACGGGCACGCGGAGCCGCGAGCGCTTGACCCGGCCTGGCGCCGTCAGGCCCCAACCCCGCGCGGCCCCACTACCCGGCCGCAGCCAGCGCTTCCGTCCCGTGCACGCGAGCCCGGGACACTCGCCCTCCCGCTCAGCTACTTACCCAGCAGGCCGGATCCAGGTGCCAGGTACCGGCGAAGGGGCGTCTACACCACCGGCCGCAGACCGCCGGCGCCGCGCCCGCTGTAGGTCCCTACCCGGGGGGCGGAGCCCGCGCCAGCCCTGCGCGTGCGCAGTGCGAAGCGGCGCGGTCCCAGCGACGCCGGCGCCTGAGGTCTCTAAGGCTGCACCCTCCCCCGCCGGGCTTCTACGCAGTCCAGAGCCCAGAGCCTCAGACCCAGCCGAGCCCGACCTCTAGGCTTAGAGCTTGACCCAACGCGTTTGCACGACAGCCTGCAAGGTTCACACTTAGCCATGCCGCAGGCTCAGAGCCTCCTCTGCAAAAGAAGGATTCGGCTTCGGTCCTGGCCCAGCCCGCCACCCGGGGGTGCCTGCCTGGTACCGGTCCCTTGGAGGGAAGCCTTGGCCCCCGCCCCCGTGGAGCTTGCAGTCCTGCAGCGGGTGAGTGAAAGCGAGAGAAAAGGAGCTCAGGTCCTCAGCCGCCAAACTCATCCTTCTTGGAGCGCTTCAGTGAAGGAGATGGCCTTGAAGTCCTAGATACAAATCCCAATTCTCCCGACTCCTTTACATCCTAGCTGCTGGACTTTGGCAAGGAAGTCCCCTGACCTCTCTGTGTCTTCATTTCTGAAGATGGGGAAGGTCGTATGTGAGACGCAAAGCCTCCTCTAGCAGTTGGGCCTTGTGAGGGTCAGAGGGGACAATGACTGTGGGCGTCTGGAGAGGGTGTGAACTCATTTAACGCCCGAGTTTCTTTCCTGCCTCCTGGACTCCAGCGCTATTTTGGGCGAGCCAGCTGCCCTCTAGATACACCTGCATCTACGATCTGGAAGACATATTTAGAATAGAGCTGCTAAGAGGAAAGAAGAGGACCATATTGCCAGGGTCCCCATAATCGGTGACTCCCCATGAAGTGAAACTGCTCTCAGCAGGGGCAGATCGAGGCACGGGAGCAGAGTCACTGGGAAGTAGTTTCTTCGGGATGAACAGCTAAAGCTGATTTCAAAGCTCTAAAAGGGGGAGGAGCAAGGCTGATTTCCACCACCTTACTGTTGGCGCCAGAGGTCGGCATGCATGGACAGCGGCCCGTATGCTGCACGGAGATGTGGAGCTGGGCAGTCCTGCCATGCGGAGGAGCGGAGCTGAGGACGACAGGCTCAACCACAAGTCCAGCAGCTGGGCAAAACCTCTGCCACTGAAATACCAAGAGCTGGGCAGAGGAAACAGCAGCCCAGAGAGCAAATCCTTCTCCCTGCCCTAGGCTGCAGTGCTCCTAACCTTGGTCCTGATCAGGCTTCCTCCCTGAGCTGCTAGGCTCCTGCTTTTCTATCTCCTAGGGCTCAGAGAAACTAATGGACGTCTTCTCAGAAAAACACATTTATGTGCAGATAGTGCCTATCAGAGTATGCCAGACAGCTCAGTCTCCCTGGAGAGTAGGGTCAAGTTGGGAAGGGTATTGAGAATCCATACTAGCAACCTCTGCCTGAAAATCTCTAGTGGCAAAATGAACCACATGAGGAAAAACTATGAATTCCGAATATCGGAGAATCTGAGGTCTAAACATCAGAGAAAATGTTCCAAAACTTTAGCCCAAAGTGTTGTCGCTCCTTAGAACTTCTACTCACGCATCACAGTTCTGCCCTATTAAGTCACACAGAATTGATGTAAGGTACCTGTGGGTCTCCTGGGAGTTTCTCTGAAGTTAGAACTGGTTATAAATCCCAGTTCGGGCACATAGAAGTTGTGAGCCTGTCTGACCCTCAGTTTCTCATGTAAAATTCAGTGAACAATAGGTCTTTCCTCTCAAGGGGGTTGTTAACATTAAACAAGAGAAGGCAAGTCAGGACTTGTCACAGTCCCTGGCAGATAGGAAGTGACTGTTAACTTACTCTTGAGGAGCCCAAATTCAGGGAGATAAAATGCTTTGTGGAGGATCTGGGAATGGGATGTTGACAGCCTGGAAAAGGGCAAAGGAAGGATAGAAACAACTTCAGCAGAAACCTTTAAGGTTGATGTCCCCAAAAGTCTTTTGATGCTCGCAAATGTGAATCATCACACATTCCCTACACTTACGTCTGCCCTTCATGTCTTCTTCCCCATACCCCAGCTTAGTTTGCCTAAATTCCATGGATCACTTCTGTTAAATTATGTTTCCCAGAAAAATACATTGAAGCGCTAATATCCCCCACCCCTAATTTATGGATGTGACCTTATATGAAACAGGGACTTGACAGATGTAAGGCAAGATCATTAGGGTGGGCCCTTATCCAATGTGACTGATGTCTTTATAAGAAGAGATACAGAGAAGAGAATGCCATGAGAAGACACAGAGACACACAGGGAGAAGGAGCCATCAGCAGAGGCAGAGATTGGAGTATACTGCCCCGAGCCAAGGGCTATTGGAAGATGGAGAAGGAAGGTAGGATCCTCCCCTGGAGGGTTCAGCAGGAGCATGGCCCTGCGCGGACACCTTGATTTCAGACTTCTAAGCCGACACAATACGTGTTTGTTTGGTACAGTCACCCCAAGAAATCAATGCACCCTCCTAGTTATGACTACGTAAATGTAGGAGAGAAGAGGGAAGATGTGAACCAGTCATCAAGTAGAAGATCTTGGAGCCAACATTCATTCATTCACTCATTCATTCAACAAAACAAGTATTGGGCTGGGCGCAGTGGCTCAAGCCTGTAATCCCAGCACTTTGGGAGGCCAAGGCAGGCACATTGCCTGAGGTCAGGAGTTTGAGACCAGCTTGGTCAACATGGCGAAACCCCATCTCTACTAAAAATACAAAAATTAGCCAGGCATGGAGGTGGACGTCTGTAATCCCAGCTACTTGGGATGCTGAGGCAGGAGAATCTCTTGAGCCCAGGAGATGGAGGTTGTAGTGAGCCAAGATCAAGCCACTGCACTACAGTCTGGGCGACAGAGTGAGACTCTGCCTCAAAAAAACGTGTATTTGAGTGCCCATTCAGTGCAGGCACAGGCTAGTGCTCAGGCTAGAGGACTGAGGAACTAGGTAAGGCTCAGCCCTCAGGGAGCATTCATTTCCAGACCACAAACCTTACAGATGGAATGATGGGACTTGGGAGATGAGCTCTAAGCCTTGAGTAGGAAGATGGAGGACAGGGGAGAGGAGAGCATGTGCAAAGGCCTGAAGTGGGCTCTTTTGAGGAAGAAAAGGAAAGGCAGTGTGGATTTAGATTATTCTAGGCACCAAGAAACTGTGGTCTTAGGGGAGCCCTTCATCAAATTCTGCCAGTGGGGAGCTTGGGGCTCAGAGGAAGACCTCTCTATGAGCTTGCCTCGATCATCTTTTCTCTTGCTCCGAACTTCCTTCCACACTGCATTGCCCACGTTTATATTCTCCCTGGCCTCTAGGACCCCCGAATGTTATATTACTTGACAAAAATACCAGTGTCCCTTGGAAAAGGGCTGGGTCTCTAACACCCAGGTCAGAGCACATACACGTCAATCTCAGACACTTCAAGATTTATGCATGGACAGGAGATCCCTGAAAGTGGCTTTTTTTTCAATTCTAAAACATTTCGGAAGTTTCTAGTAACTTCCTTGAGCCTTAGTTTACACATCTGTGAAGGAGGGATAAAGGCCCCCAAGCTCCGAGAAGACAGCCCCGGTTCTCAAGCTTACCTCGCCTCAGCCCTGGGGCGGCGCGGGAGGTTACGGATGTCGAGTCCGAATCCCGATCTCATCTGCCGTCCTTCCAGCTGTGTGATCTTGGCCAAGTTACTGCCAGTCTCTGAGATGTTTTCTCAGCTGCAAAACAGGAGTAAGTGGAGCAACCTTTCGTGGAGGGTGTCAGGCGCTGAAGCGTGGCTAAGGCAGGGACCACGTCTCAGCCTCCCTTTCCCGTCCCGCAGCGCGGGCACCTTCCCTCGGCTCTCCCGACCGCGCACGCCCAGCTCAGCAGCCCCTGCTGCCGCGGAAGCGCGCAGTGGGACTGGAGGGGCCACGAGCAGCACACTGGGCATGCGCGGCCGGTAGAGCCTTGAGAGGCGCGGCGCCGCACCGCGCCGCCGCACCGCGCCGCAGTACCGCCCGCGGCCTGTGGCGTCGCTGCGCACCCGACTGACCCGACTCTGCGTGTAGAGCTCTACCCAGCGCGCCGGGTGGTGCAGCCCTGCGCTCACCTGGCCGCGCTCGCTCCCGCCCGCCCGGCGCCTCCAAGAATCGGGAATGTAATGTTTTGTCTTACATTCCCATTTGCTCCCTCCCCAGGCTGGCGTGGGATCCGAGGATTCCTGATGACTGTGGCTCCTCGCCCCTCCAGCTGTGTTCCCCGCCGCCCCTGGGCTGAAAGCGCCACTGGGCGCCGGGGCTTTGTTCATCATTAAAGCCTTGGGGACATAGTAGGAGCATAGTTCCCGGCAGAGAACAGGTCTGGCTGCCACGGCCCATCTGGGAGGAGCCGCCAGCATCCCTTGCCGAGACAGAGTTCTGGAAAGCGGAGAGGGGGGCAGGGACCGGCCCCAGATCGGTTCCGGAGGGGATAGATCAGAACCGGAGAGGGTGCCTTTAGAAACTCATTGCAACCTGACAAAGCTGCAGCGTCCAGGATTTTGGGTGGGGTCGAACTCAGGGAGTGGTCGCTTGCGCGCAGAACCGCGTTGACTCGAGTAGGTTCAAAAAGGATAGGCATGGGGGGCAAGACCTAGTCCTTCACCACAGGTAGATCTAGGCTGCTGCGGGAGTCTCCTGGCTCATCTCCCTGTATCCACTGGCCTCTCACCCACACTGCGACATCCAGACTGGTCCTTACACAAAGCAGACTGAATGAAGTCACCCTGCTCCAGAGTCCTTGCAGCCTCCAGTCCTACAGAATGCGCCCCTGCCTGCCTGCCTGCCACGTCGTCTCACCCTCTCCCGCATGGTCTTGCAACACTGACTCCGCTCTGCATGCACCGCTGACACACCGGGCTTCTCCAGGGAAAGACCTTTGCACTATTATGCCTGCCTGGGATATCTCTTTCTCCTCTCAACTAAAAAAATCACCTCCTCAGAGGCCTTTCTAACCATTTCATTACTCCTCATTCTGTCACATCCGTGTGTTTTATGTTCTTCATAATGAACTGAACCTGTTTGTTGT